CGGCGGCGGCACGGAGAGCAGCCGCCTGCCCGGTGCCTCCGCAGCCGAAAGGCGCGGACCGGCGCCTCCAAGGCGAAGGCGTGCTTCAGAAAATTGCTTTATGCGTTTCCTGTGTGAATGGAATTAAAATTATTTATCCTCCGGGGTCTGGTAAAGCCTTTGCTTTGCCTGACTTCGCAGCCAGCAGGTCGAGGGAGGGGATTCTGCCCCTCTGCTCCACTCTGGTGAGACCTCACTTGGAGTCCTGCTCCCAGCTCTGGAGCCCCCAGCATAAGGACATGGATGTGTTGGAGCGGGTCCAGAGGAGGACCACAAAGACGATCAGAGGGCTGGAACACCTCTCCTACGAGGACAGGCTGAGAGAGGTGGGGCTGTTCATCCTGGAGAAGAGAAGTCTGTGTGGAGATCTTATTGTGGTCTTTCAGAATACAGCTTAAACAAATTCATTTAAACCTTGAAACCTTCCCTCTCTGAATATTTGTTTTAAGTGAAATCTTGATCTAGTGGAAGGTGTCCCTGCTCATGTCAGGGGGGTTGGAACCAGATGATCTTTAAGGTCCCTTCCAACCCAAACCATTCTATGATTTACCCCTGAGCAATGTTCCTGAGGTTAGATGATTTGGACTTGCTGTTGGTAGAGTTCAGTTTGTGGCTTCGCTCGGAAGGGGCGATCCGGTCAAGTTCCATTATCGATGCCTTTTTGGTGGCCTGGACCTTTTCGTGCCCGACTACTGAATGTGGGTGAGCAGCCCTGACCCCCTCCTCTGGAGGTTTGCCTGCAGAGCAGCGCTGGAAACTGGCCAAGCCCGGACAAGCGTCCTTCCACCCCCAGCCGCGTTCCCCAGTGCCACTCTCTGCCCACCGCTGCCCTGGCTGGGGGAGCACGAACCGACCTGCTGACGTTTGGCAGGGAATGTGGGGCTCGTGTCAAGCATTAGATTAGTGATACGTGTTCGCTTTTAAAATCCACTGTCCCGGCAGATTTTTTTTTTTAAATTTCAGACATCACTTTTATGCCGTGTTTGCTATTCAGATAATTGCTGGAGTGAAATCTGCTATGGGCAAGGTGAAGGACGGAGCAGCCTTACCTTCCACTCAGTTTTGAGCCAGTCCATTAGTTAAATTACTTTTAATGACAAATATAGATGTGTCTCGTACAGTAAGGATGAGTTCTGCTTTTGATCCCTCACCTGTTTTTCTTTACCCAGTTGTGGCAAAATAATGCTTTCTCACTACTTGCTTTTTATCAAGGCAGAAAGTAGAGGGTTTTGATGCAGTAGACGAAAGTACTAACCCAGCACCAGCACAACATCACTCTTGTGCAGAAGCTGAGAAGATTGCAGAGCAACTTTTGTAAGATATTTTAAATTCAGTGACAAAGTTGGCCAATGCTATTTTTCCCGTGTTTTTCCTTCGTATGAGTATTTAGGTACACTTCGCTGTAGATGGATGAGGTAGCAGCACAGATCAAGTACAGGACCGTTTTTCCTCATCAAGTCACACATACAGCAGATGGATTGATAAGCTTACTGACAAGACTGGGGAATCAGCACTGTTGTAAGAAGGGATGCTTCGTCCAGTAAAGTCATTAGGAGCGTCTATAAACCATGGAGTGAGATGAGAAACTTGGATCCCTCTGCAGCTGGTAGGTCTTCGAGTAGCATCACCAGATGTGTGAGCCTCAGCATCCTGCTAGGCTTGGCTGGGTGTATGACAATGTATTTCCTCAAAGACAATCTGTTGTAAGGAGACTAATAGGATACTATGGCCATATCTTATCCCAGGCAGTGTGTGCTTGGCAGGGTAAATGCAAAAAGGAATGCTGTCAGATGTTTCTGCTCTTGGCCTGTGTTTATTGTAAAGTTCATAGTACAAAAAGGGACCTTCTTCAGACGTCATGAATAAAAAATAATAAATGCATTAATGATGCAAAAATCCTGCTTTCCTAATGCACATCCCATGAAGGGCAGCTTGGCAAGGTTGTTATGAGGAAGAAACATTTGTTTTGATACCTTTTTTTTTTGTTTTTTTTTAAAGAGCCAACTTTTAATGTGTTGGAAGGTTGCCATCATTTGCGAAGCATATGGGGTAGATGGGATGCGTACAGTGGCCTTCCTCACCTCTCCAGGGACTGGGGGCTCAACTTACGCTCCAGCCTGGACATGAGGCTTCGGTGCTGGCGCAGGAGTTCTGCAAGAGAACTGTGAGGAAGCTCGCCGTGTTTTCCTGAGAAGTTCTGCAGGTACAGAGCCTGGTGAGAGAGCCGGATGCCAACGCTGCTCAGAACAAACTGTTTATTAGCTGTGCCATTTTTAAAATAAAGCATATTAGTTTGTCAGGAGCTGAAGTGCGGGCTGGCTGCCAGGCCCTGGGCGAAGGAGGTGCGTCTGTGTGAGCAGCGAGAGGGACCGGGACCTTGATCCACCAGTCCAGGCACTGGCAACGTGGATTCAACTGGGCGAGAGCAGGAGATCATACAAGGTCCTTGGAAAAACGAAGCACCTTCCCACCTTTCTGTTTGTTTTTGTCTGTAAGACGTCTTCCACGTAGTCATTTTATTCTTGATACACCAACTCAGATAAGAATACTCTAGTTCTGTAACACATACCTTAAATGTCAGTAAACATAAAAACTTGAGGAGTTGTCAAAAGCTGATTCCTGGAATACTATTTTTTGAACCAGTACTCTGTGCGTGTCTACTTCCATACAATGCCATGGAGGAAGTGAGTCCGTTTTATTTATTACAACAAGAAGTAAAGCTTAAATAAAAAAAAAATCTCTGTTTTCATCTGAAAATATTCCGATGCTATTGTGTCCCCACCCTTCCCCAGTGGAGCTGCTGCCAACTATTTTGCAACTTTTCTGGTTTTGTCTCTCTGACCCCTGAGCAGGGAGCTTCAGCTCCAGTTTCTGTGACACGGAGCACGCCTGGGGCGTCGCCATGCTGCCAGGGTACTCAGCCGTCGGCAGAAAGGAATAAGTGTGCACCACCTGAATGTTTTTTTAAAAAAAATAAAAAAATTTAAGTGGGCGTTTGATTTGTTCAAGAGGTCAAGTGAGAACTTACAGGGTAACTGTTTACTGCCCAGTTATCCCGGCTTGCTGGAGGGGAGTGGAGGAAGTGGGGGCGGGCATAGAGGGCAGGAGACAGCTATGTGTAAACCAACTCCTTTTAACTCTCCTAACCCTTTCTCCTCAGAGCCTGCCTAAAGGTCCTCTTCATGCTCATTCCTACAACGAACTGTAGGACTTCAGTTTTTAAACTAGCACAGACTGTCACAGTCTGAGATGCTGTTGTGCACAGGGGAAGAAATACTCTTGTGTTGAAGAGTTTCCCAACTTCAGTGCAAAAATCATATGAAAGGAGCATTACAGGATATCTCTGATAGCTTTGTGCATTTGTGATTACATAGTTGTGCACATTGCCTGTTTAAATTGCCAGAAACTTAGTGGTACTCTCACCCTGTTTTTCCCATCCTCCTTAACATCGCATCCATTTGTTGCATTTTCATCTCAACCTAATGAAAGAGTTGGACAGGACAGGAGTATGCTGTATTATTTTTGCCCAGAATATAACGTAACTAGGGCTTATTCTTGATTTGAGCCTTTGGGCTCTATTGAAAAAATGAGCATGAAGTGGGAATGTATTATCTTAGTACTAATCTACGGGATATTATTCTATAAGGAGCAAAGTATGGCTTGGTACAGGCTGCCAGTTATGGCAGATTTACTGTATATTTGTCTCAGGGCTGCCACTGTGGTTCAGTGTTTCTACTACGTTCAGTATTACTTGTGATTAAATTGGAACCTAAAAGAACTACCGAAAACCTCTGTACTATGGTACACGTCTTAATTTGTGAGAATAAGTGAAGCTGGGGGACTGTGTGAGTGCAAAATGAAGCATTCGTATGCACGCAGGACTGAAGCCTAATTGAACAGTTTTGCTCATTATGTAAAAATTCCTCATAGAATGGATTAAGTGTCAGACCGGTTGGAAGAGCAACGTTCGCATAGGAAACTCACAATATATTCCCTCCTTGCAGTGAAAACTTAGACCCTTTTAGGGATATCAGTTCAATATTTTATCTTACAGCAGAAAGAAGGTCAGTGGCAGCTACACTAATGCAGCTTTCCGAGTCTCTTGGTACTAGTCCCATAAAAACCCGTATGCTTTTTGCCTAGACTCATAAATTAATGACACTTGGTACTCTCACATGTGCCCGCGTGCTGATTTTCTAAGGACCAGCTTTAGAGAGTCGTGCTGCATCTGTAAATGCTGGCAGCACGATTCACGTGTGAGAGAAACAAGAAGCTGCTTTTAAAGCAAACAGAGGTGTTGCTACGAGTTCCCTCCCGAGGAGGCTGGTCTTGCTGAGGCGGAACTTCTTTCTGCTGCTACCAAAGGGCAGAGCTTACCCAGTTTACACTGCAATTTGCTCTTAGCAAGAGTTAAATCTTTACCACTGCTCATCTGTCAGGGATTCTGGGGCAATTTACAGATATAGCAAAGGATACTTAAGTCTTCTGTGCCTGCAGCTAAACACGGTGCTTTTTGAACAGACCAGGTCCCGAGGGTCGGGAGGTGGAGGTCTGTTTTCTTGTTATGACCCAGGAGCGCACGTGACCGGAAAAAAGGAAGGAAGCGGCTTTTGTATTGACTGCTCCCCACCTCTCTCAAAGGTGCTTCTCCTGCCAGCGTCTTGTCCTTGAAAGGGCTGTCCCACTCCTGTCCCCAGGCTGAGCTCGCTCAGTCGGATCCTGCAGCCTGCTGACCCTCCTTCCCTCTTGCTTTCATCTTCTGCACCACAGCAAAAACACGCCAAGAGCCCTGATGGGAATTATGCAACAATGCTGTCCAGTTAATGGATCTCGACCTACTGGTGTATAATGTATTTTTTCATCTGTTAGGGTTGATTGCCTAATTTCCTACTATTTTTTTCCCCTATAAATTCCCAAACTTATTAGCAACCCTGCTGTTTCATACTTGTGTAGCCACTTTGTATGTTCTGGGAGGAGGGAATTTGTGTTTTATGGCAAGTGATACCATGTAGCCCTGTGCTTTTCCTCTAAACCAACCTTGTTTTTTCTTTCCATTAGCACATTATAAATTAGAGATTTCCTTAGTCTTGTCTTTATTTCTGCTTTGGCTGTGCTGTATCAATTTCCTGCTGCTGGGCTTCAGTGCTCACGTGGTAGAGAGCTTAAAAAATAAAGATGCAGATTTTAAAAGAAATGTAGTGCACACTTGGGCACATCAAAAGATCGAGAAGTATGTAAAAGACTTTTTTTTTGCTTTTGCAAGACCCTTTGCTTCCAGTGATGATAAAATTGCTAGACTTGGGGTTGCACTTAACACTGATTACAGCGAGATAATAAATACCAGAAGTGGTTTCAATTCAGTAGGTGGAGCGATAACAAGCTCTCATGACTGAAAGCTGAAATTAGGTAAATTCAGATTAGAGGTAAATTGTTAACCATGACAGTAGCTCACCAGAGAAAGCTCTTGGGGCGTTGTGTCCTGCCCCGGTGGGAGCCCGAGCCCAGCCGTGCTCCTCCGAGCGTCCCTCCCGTGCCTCGCGGGTGGCCAGGGATGATGGGCACCCCAATTCAGAGAGGGCTCAAACCAGCGGCGCTCGCCCCAAACCCACTTGCAACGTACGAAGGACCTACAAAAGCACAATTGTGAGAGTGGTGTCAGGGGATTAAAAGCCCACAGTTCAAGCAGGCTCTGCTACTGGGCCACGTAAACAATGTCTTCATTCAAGTCATTTTTAGCAAATAAATTTTTATAAAATGGAATCCTTACTTTTATATTTATTTACTCTTTAAGATTTGTTTTCAAGTGACCTGTGCTACAGGCTCACCGAGCCTGCCAAAGCCCTCGCTCCTAGCTGTTTACCTCCCCTCTCCTGCTGGTGTTGGTTGACAAATGTTTTTTTCCATCTGCGCTCGAACGATAAGCATTGTTAGCACTAAGCCCTCTGCCTTTCTGTCCCGGTGGGTACCGGCTTCCCAATTACCCCGTCCTGCTGCTGTAAACCGATAAAGGTACCACTCTGCAGTCCCACGTCAGATTACCACAAGGGAAACGGTTACCTGTTCCAGAAAAATCCTTTAATTAGCGGCTTTTGAGGGTGAAGAAATCACCTTCGTTTTGCAAACCTAGGAAAAGAACATCTCTCTCCCTACCATTTTTCTTGACGTTAAAATGAGATGATTTATGAGTTTTGATGGTATTTCATTAAAAATAGCTGAGCTCTTGTTAACCCATTACTGTCACCTTTCATTAGTTTAAATGCGGCTATGACCATATTCTTCCTACATAATTTATCTCCTAGAAAAAACTGTATCTTTGAATGTAATATTGCAGCTATACAGTTAAAGAAGATTCAGACTTGCCAGAAGAGCAAATGATATAAAACTTTCTGTCTTTTCTACCTCAAGCAGCAGAGCTACAGCACGAGCAGACCATCTGGTCCTTGCCTACCACAGAGTTTTACACATCCTTTGCAGCTCGTGGCGACGGCCACCCTCATAGCCAGGAAACCAGATTAAACAAATGATGCGACAAGTCCCACACTAAATTAATTATTGTTGGATGCAGAAAGTTCTTGTGAAATGCCTTTATTTCATCCTTGCCCTTCCAGCTGGAAGGGAGCTGCAGAATAGGCTAGCGAGCTCATTATCAGACTTCAGAGAAAATAAAGCACTGAGCTACTTTTCTGTAAACTGGTAAACAAATAAAAAAAATGTATTTAAGACATGACTCGGTGATTATTTTCATTACATGGTCAGACAAATCATTTAAGAATTCACAACTTTTTCACCTATTTTTCTCAGCATGAAATTCAGTCATTGCACGGCCATTACAGGCCTCACCCAGCTCCGCAGGAAGCCGAAGCAAAGACGGCCAGACCACAGTTCCGAGGACTTGCAGGTATGGTGGCGCAGCAACTTCCCCCACGGAAGTGTTTACTTTCAGATACCTCGTAGAAAGTTGAATACAAATGGCTGCATTCTACTGGATGCACATATCAGGGGATCGGCCAACATTATCAACAACAGTCCACAAATTAGGAGCACATTTTCTAGATGGAAAGCTTATTTCTATTTCTCAAGGAAGACAAACAATACTGTATCAAGTATGTCTAAAAAAATCAAAGTTCTCGGACTTCATTTTTTTAAAATCTGTTTATTAAGAAAAAGCGTCTCTTTTTACATAGAAAAGATACAGAGGAAGGTAAATAAATGCAGTAGAATTCATTACCTCATGTAATAGCTGTACAACTGAATCTTAATGACAAAAGTTGCAGAAAACCTAAATATTATAAAAAGCCACCTCCAAAATGAGAGTCTGACAGTGAGAACGAGACACAAAAATGAACAGCACTGAACAACTGTGCACTACAAGTGCATAGAAAGACCCAGCCAGTACACCACACGAGACCTCGTGCGAAAGGATATTCCTGTTTCAGCATTATGCCTTCAATGGGGAAATCAGATAAATTTCGTTCTTTAAGAAGTCTCAATAGCTGGTGTATCCGGCAATTTATTATTTAATTTTCCAACTTTTCGGAGCTGGAAAGCCTTTAAAATTTTCCTTAAAAAGGAACTCTGACAAGATGGATACTTTGTTTTTCCACAAACAAATTCTTAAATCTTCTTGCTTTGTCATGTCTTCCAATGACAATTATTAGATTATTTTCCCATGGATTATGTGAAGGAAAATAAAACAATGAGGAATATTGAATTCAAAGCTGTGAACCGAGTACTCGTGCACTGCCATCCGTGACAGCCTTTGCTGAAGCTTGCAGGAGACTACAGAGATCTGCCGTGGTGCCCTCCGGGCAGCTTCCTGTGAACTCCAGCAAATTCACCAGCACTCCACCGATCGCACGGTTAGGAATACTGTCCGGAATTAAAGTGGTCTCACAAACGGGCACTGTGCAGATTAAAAAAATATACATGGGGAAAATAATGAGAACAGACACTTGAATGGCAACAGAAGAGAAAGATTTATTTTTACTGACTTTCAGCTGCTGTTAAGATCGCTTGAGAGACATCCATTAAATTTGTAAGACCACCACAGATATGACTACATACGCATATTCTGTCTATCTCACTACCACGCCCTCTCTTCATAAAGGCACTAACTATAAATAAAATGAAAATGGACAGATAAAATGCCAGAAATAAAATGGATTGCTTGTAGGGATTTCTATGTTTATGTTTGTATACATTCATGCTTTAAATGTACAATTTTAAAATTAATTTAAAAAGTCACCTTTATTTTGGCAATACAACTGATAAAATGAAACATGCAGAACACACAGCTCGACAGAACTCAGTGCATAATTTTATCAGAATGAAGTAGTTCTTCATCACCCTTTGTGAGTTGGGAATACATTCATATTACAAGGCAAAAAAACCCCCACACAAACCAGACAACATCTGGCTTCTGCATAATGCATTTGCTTTTCCACATCTTCTCCAACATCTTTGGATAGGAACATCTACGTCTGACCACAGGTTAAATGGTATGCTTCTATTTTAACAGTCTTCATAGTGCAGCGAGGTGAGACAGAGCTGCCTGTGTTCACTGTTCTATCTCCAGGCTATCCATTTTTAAGTCGGGGGGTTTAAAGCTAATCACTTCTCCGTAGGTAAGTTCTGTAGAGAGGGGGTAAGGGAGAGGGAAGAATTAGGTGATATTCTCTTCAAAAGAAAAACATCCCAGACCGAACAGTTCTACGGATGCGTGTGACTCGCAGTTTGTATTTTTAGCCTTTTTAGAGTCCAGATCCAAAACCAGACTGAATTCACTAGGAATCCTTCCGTTAACCTCAGATTACAAATTAGACTGACAAATACTGTTATTGTACAACATGTCTGTCCCCTTCAGCTAATTACTAAAACACACAGGCCCTGAAATGGAAGCATCAATTGTGCTGTCAGATGACCTGCCAAAATGACGTAATAAAAGACAAAATGCAATGGAAAATGGAATCTTTAAAAGCACCCAAACAGGTTTTAAAATGTCCACTTTTAACTGCAGAGAATGTTCTTTATCATCTCTCAGTCAATTGCCTTCAACGTAAATCACTCGCAATTCTGTGCTAATGCCTTGGGATCTACGTTTTGGGGTTTTTTAATGTTTTATTGTAACTAACTTAAATTTAAGTTCCTCTGAAAAAATTTTTCTTTTGTCTTAGAAGCATGTAACAGTTCTATTTTCATCAAGAAGGGCTTAGCTAGAAACATGGATTCCCAGCTATTTTACCCTGCTTTAGGAATAGCCCGTTATCTTTTCATGTTGACAGTCATGTCCTGTTTTGACATTAAGTTAAATTAAATGCCTGGAAATGTATGAAAAATTATTCCT